GTCGGACAGTGCTGCATTTACTCACACCGTCGAAAGCAACCAAAATCCCTAAACCCAAAACCCTAAACCCCTAAACCCTAAACCGTTACACCCTAAACCGTAAACGGTTACACCCTAAAAACCGGTACACCCTAAACCCTAAAGCGTTACACCCTAAACCCTAAACCGTTACACCCTAAACCCGAAGCCCTAAGCGGTTTGGGGGTTCGGGGCCGAAGTTTGGGGGGGACCTTTCTGTTGCGATGTCTTTCGGTTCCCAGTGTCAAGGACCGTTTCGAGCTTCCATTAAAGATATGTTGGGGTGCTCCTGGTGGCAAGGGGATGCTGGATTATTGCTTCATGGGTTCGGGCTTTTGGGATTATCGTTGTTCGGAGGATCTGATTTTCTTGGGGTTTTGCTGTTTGAAGTTCTTTTGGTCGCGATTGATTGCTTTTTAAGTCGGGACGAAATCACCATTGATCGGGAGCTTCAACATGACGGATGTTGCAGAAGTCTAGTCTAGTTCTACGAGTCTGTGACCTAGGGCATCGAATTAGCCTTGAGTATCAGGCCGATATAGGTTTTCAGGGTTCAGGTTTTACCGACTGCCTCTCGATCGTCGGTGAGCTTAGACCGGGAAGGAGTTCGATTTTTGTTTACGCAGTCTTGTCTCACTGCACACAGACGGTCCCAACCCTCCGAAGTCTGACATCCTCGCACTTAATCTCAAAACTCGAAAACCCACTTTAAGGCTACATCCCCCGACCGTAAACCAGGGCTCCAGCGTGCCAAGCACCTTCGGAAGCACCGGAGCATCACGTCTCCGTGAGCGTTTGCGCTGCAAAGTGCCTCTCGGCACTTTTCAGCTTGCGGCTTCGGGTTCAACTCAGCACCTTAGCGCAAATGTGCACATATACCCATCAAGCTCTTCAGGGTTTACGGTTTAGGGTCTAGTCTAGGGTATGGGCTTTAGACGTTACTGGCGCTTTGCCGCGTGTTCTGGGGAGAGATGCATCGGAGAGGCTTCCTGGCAGCACAACTCTTGCCAAAGAGTCGGCAGCACTCCCAAACCTCCAATCTCTGGCCTTCCTCCCGGTGTTCTTAAACAAGAGAACCGTAAACATGTATCTTAGTATATTAAAGTACATTATATAGTACTAGTATATTCCCGATTCTTGGACGCTTTTTCTGAAAGCCGAGTCCTAAACCCTAAACCCTAAATGATATCCCTGATGCACTCAGGATCGAGCGCCATCGCCAGCAGGCAGAGCAGGCCACGACCCCCTCCTCTCAGGACCGTTCCTGGGGCCAAGGGCTGAGGGCAGGAACTTGAAGGGTTTGAGGCACATCTATGTAATGGTCGTATAGCAGCATAATGACAACAGCAGAACAACTGCACGAGAAGGGATTCTCGTATGAGTATTGCCAGCAGGACTCATGTCAATGTCATCATCAGGAGTAATTCGTGCAAGGAGCAGCACCAGCACCAGCAACAGCAGCAAGAGCAACATTGCAGCATTTGCAGCAACAGAAAAGCCGCACTAACGACGAACTCCAGCATCGTGGCGGCAATGATTCTTCCCATCGTCCAGCGCCGCAGGAGAGCTCTGGTAATGGCCCGGATCTGGTGGAACCAGCTCCAAAGAAGGAGTCGGGGCAAATTCTTTGTTACTATTTCGGATTAGTGTTTCGATTGCAGGTGCTGCTATTATTAATACTGTTATCATCATTCGTGTTATGAAGTCTCCAGTCACTTGGGTTTCCTCTTTGTTTTTCCTGGTGAGCGGTTCGATGCCTTAGCTCTCTGTTGGGATCCGGGCTGGTACATGTTCTGCACCAGGGAGCCCCATACCTCTTCATTATGACTTAAATCCATAATCTTAAGGCCCCCTATAATTTAAGGTGTGTTCCGTGCTCCTTGGGTATCGACTTCTCTGGGCATGTGTAACCTTCGATGCGGACACCGCGATACGCAGGTGGCTGCTGGTGCAATCACATGCCCAGAGGCCACTGCAGGCATGGCATGCTAGGATTTAGTAAGCTGCAGACGCCCAGCATGCTCGCCAAATCCTCAAGCTTGTGAACGCAAGCCTGCCCGCCCAACAGAAGAGAGCAGAAATCCCTGAATGCGGACGCCAAAACCATAGTGAATCAGATGAAACTGGAAACCCTAAACCCTGAACCAGAAATCACCGATTTCAGGAGAAGAAGTCCAAGAACAAGAAGTCCCAGGCTAAGAAGGAGGAGGCTCCTGTCGCCAAGAAAGAGCCCGAGGCGCCCTCCCGTCTCTGAAGCGTTTTTTGTCCCCGGTCCCTGCGGGTTTTTGGGCCTCAGAGGGTTCCTACTGCTTACTGCTTAAGGCTTAGGGCTTAGATGGGTTTTTATAGGGCTTGAAGAGATTATATAGGGGTTGGGCTTCGCGTTTCGGGTTTGCTTTTATAGTGGAACCCTAAACCCTAAACCCCAAAACAGGCGAAGCCGCAGGCAAAGCCGGAAGAAACAGCGCCAGCTCCAGCCGCTCCATCGCCTCCCGCCGAAACTCCAGCAACCCCAACACCAGCTCCAGCGAATGAGCCTTGGCTGCCGTTCTTGATTCATTCTGGGCTCGGGGCAGTTACTGCTTGCATGGTATACCATATCCCGAACTCTGCTTGAATTGAAGGCTTTACAGTAAGATGGATCTACGCTCAGCAGCACCGTACATCTGGACCCTGGAGTTCAAGAGTCCTTTCGGGGACCACTGGCAGTTGGAACTCCGGGAGAACCTGGCATTGGTTTGCCAAACCCCAACCCCCCCCGTCGCACCCCGCAACACCACCCTTCAAACCCGCATCTAGTATATAAAGAGTTGTATGTATGTATGTATGTATGTATGTATGTATGTATGTATGTACGTACGTATGTGTGTATGCATGCATGCATGCATGCATACATACATACATACACATACATAGACATGCATACATACATGCATACATACATACATACATACATACTCACATACATACATACATACATACTTACTTACTTACTTACTTACTTACTTACTTACTTACTCACTCACTTACTGACTCACTCACCCACTCGCTCACTTACTTACTTACTTCGTACATAATTACACACATACATACACACACATATACATACACATATACATATACATATTCATATTCATGTACATGTAAATGTACATGTACATATACCTTTACATATACATACCACCCCTAGACGAACGGTTTCCGTGCCACCCAAATACCCGGACACCCCCTTTAGGGCACGCAGTCCCAAGTCTTTGCCCCAAGGCCCAGGCCTAAGTCCTAAACTTTGATGGGGTTTAAGGTTTAGAGTTGTTAGGGCTTTTAGAGGGTTTAGGGATTATAGGGTTTAGGGTTTAGGGTTTGGGGAACCTCGAAGGTAGCCTGACCAGAGTCAGAGGCCACATCTTCCTTAAAGGGTGGGTGCGGTGTCAGCACGTTCCAAAATTTATGTCCGAAGTAGGGTTTAGGGTTGGGGTTTAGGGCCTAGGGTTTAGGGTTAACCTCCAAACCCTAAACCCTTAGACCCCGAACGCTATAAAACCTCAACCCTGTGAGCACAGGATGTGGCCAGTGCCGAAGTGCCTCCGGTTGAGCGACCTTCCGCTGCGGAGAAGGATGCTCCCGTCAAGGTTGAGCAGGCAAGACTTTCAAAAATTCAGAGCCTAGGGTTAAGGGCATTGGGTTAGGGACATTACGTGGGGCTGAGGATTCAGGACGCAGGGTTGAAGGGTCGGGATGTGCGCCTCACAGGGTTGTATGGGAAGAGCCGTAGTCTCGCTATTGCGCGGTTTCTGGGTCCTTGTTGGATACAGTTTTATATTTTTGCTATAACAAAACCCTAATGAGGATTAAAGATGATCATTTTTAATATGGCCCCAACATGGAACCAGGTTTAGCGGCCCACATACCAGCAGAAAAAGGAGCGTAGCGCCAGAGAAGCTCATCCCAGGATCCTCAAACTAGCGGTGATGCTGGGAAGTAGTGCTACAACGATACAATAATCGTCCTGGTGGTTTATGGTGGTTCGGGGTGCTGGCGGCACCCTAAACCCTAAACCCTTAACCCTTAACGCTTAAATCCTAAACCCCTAAACCCTAAACTAAACCCTTAACGCCCTTAAACGCCTAAACCCTAAATCCAGGCAACTTCGAAGAAGAGCAAGAACGGAAAGGCCAAGAAGGCGCCGATGCGTCGAAATGGGAGGGCGGTGCACGGCGGGAGGATTTGGTGCTTCGGGCTTTGTGCTTAAACGGCTTAAGGTTTAGGGTTTAGGGTTTAGGCTCAAGGTTTAAGAGTAGGACTTTCAGGGTTTAGAGTCTAAGGTTTGGAGTTTAGACTTAGAAGTCCGGGATTCTGGATAGAAGGGCCCGAACAGTGTGGTCTAGGGTGTGCAGGGTGTACAGACCGTACGTAGTCGGATACGAACTAACCACGACAACTCCCAAACCCTATAAGCCCTAAACCCTAAACCCTATAAGCCCTAATCCCTACACCCTAAGCCTTAGAAAAACCCTAAACCCTATAATAGCCCTATAAACCCTAACCGTGGCCCCAAAAATACCCAGAACGACTTTTAGTAGGCCTTGGGACTTTGGGCTTTCTGGCGACGCTACAGCTTCAGCCAAAAGGGTGCCACTTGATCTCTCGAGTTTTAGGGTTTAGGGCTTTGGGTTTAAGGCTTAGAGTTTAGGAGTTTAGGGTTTAGGGCTTTGAGTTTAGGGTTTAGGGCTTAGGGTTTGGGGCTCAGGGTTTAGGGCTCAGGGTTTAGGGTTTAGGGCTTTGAGTTTAGCACTGAGGGTTTAGGGCTTAGAGTTTAGGGTTTAGGGCTTAGGGCTTTGAGTTTAGGGTTTAGGGCTTCCGATTCCAAACCAATGACCAATGATTGAATGGTCTAGACGTTGTTTGTTGCTGTTCCCCGGCACACACAATCATGAATCAGTAGTTCCGTACATGCAAACAGCCCAGGTAGCCCCTTAGGATTAGGACGCTGTGACATGCATCCGCGACGCCCGGCGGCTAGATGACTGGGCGAGGATCTGAGAAGTAGATCTTCCTGTATTTCTAGCATAGTCCTTTCAGGGCATACTTCAGACATCGTCATGTCATATGTGCTTGAAGGGTTGCTCTCTAGTTCTGTGCCGAGTCTCTTCAGCATGGATCTCTGGGCTTGATAGCTCATGACTAGGCGACAACGCTGCATGATGACACTTTCTCGGCTTCGTAGGCTCGGATGGCCAACAGTGTAGAAAAAGTGCTTTCGCTGTGAGGCGGAGACAAGACCGGCGGAGAACAACTCCCGCACCGCCAGCAAGGATCGGAGAGAGTGTGGGTTCAGCATCTAGGACTTTGGGTTCGTAGGATACAAATCAGAACGACATACATCAACCGTAACTCATATCGATGCTTGATAGTTTTTCAGTCCAGCAACAGGCATAATTCCCCTAACCCTCCACCCCAGAAGCAAGCGCAGGAAGCACCAGTGAAGCCCTCCGCGCGCAAAGCTGACCCGGATGTCGAGGTGCACAGGGCCGAGGGGCGGGTGTCCGGGGCGTGGGACAAAATTTCAGGATCAGTAGCTATAAGACTAAACAAGCCAGAAAACTGATAGGTACAGATACAGGTGCAAGCAAACATGTGTATATGAATCTTAGTGTTCATATTTTTCACACACACGCACACCATATACATATACATATACATATATATACATACATATGTATATAGGTGTAGCACTGTAACTGCATGTGTTCACTGCTGTCTTCCCTGCTTGATATACATCTCACGTCAACGCCCCGGGACATTCAAGCGGGAAAGGCTTGTCTCCAACCTTGAGCTTCCAGGTGCTACGCCTAAGCCCTAAAGCTGAGGTTCCGCACCTTGTGAGGGTTTAGGGTTGAGGGTTTAGGGTTTAGATGTCCTCCCTTCAACACCCTCGTTGTAAACAAGTGTGTCGCAAGCATCACGAGTCGCAGACGCAGGTCGACCATGCAAGTTACTGCCACGTAATTAGTAATGCGCCCGAAACCAATAGCCCTTAACTCCTTAACCACTAGCTTAAACCACCCCAAACCCTAAATCCTTCAACCTAACATGTACCACCTTACTTCCCCCAAAGTTCCTAAAACAAACACTCCCCAACCCTAACCCTCTAGAATTGCTCGTTGCATACCTACTTCCTCCAAAATCCCGAAGCACATGGACGACCCGAAAAGCTCAAGGCCGCGCTTCAGCGCCTGGCGCGGCAGCCCCTGGCCAAGCCCTCTCTTCGTGGCCCAGCGCTCCTTCGAGAGGCCCGGTACTCGGAGAGCCCTCTACTTTAAGGTTTAGGGTTTAAGGTTAAGGTTAGGGGGTTCCCCTTTAGGGTATAGTGGAGAGCCCTCTATTCTTAAGGCTTCTTTTAAGAATTTTAAGGGCTCTACAAGGGATCTAGACAGGGTCTTCCGAGGTTCTTTTGGGGGGCTTTGGGTTTTAAGGTTTGCCTTTAGGGTATAGCGATGATTCGTTACAAAAGACTTTCGAGCAAGAATAGCAAACACATGCAACAAACCATACAGTGCCAATCATCATTTGTGTCAAGAAGACAACTCTTGTAATCACACTATATCTGCCAAAACCATTAACACCTACAATCACAAGTATCCACGTTATCATCAGTCTCATCATCCTGGTAAATACCAGTATTGTATGCACTTCTCCTGTCGGTATTCAGCGTCACCGTCGTCGTCATCATCATCAGATTCCTTTCCTTCTCCATCATCAGCAACAACAACAACATCACCGCCATGATCGAACATCACCATCATCAACGTCTATACTATAGTCTCATCATCAGTGCCACTGTATCCAAATGCCAACATAATTCGGTTATACCTTGCTTATTTCCGGCTATTGGCACCACCAATTCCTCCAAGTGCCATGGCAAGGCGGGTCTTGTAGAAGTTGGGTTATGGTTTGGGGTTAAGGGCTGTAACTGCAACTACGGTGTAATTATGCTAGATAACTGCCTATGTATTTTTATTTACAATATACACATAAACGCAGTAGTGTGTCATTGATTGATCTATCTATCTATCTATCTATCTATCTATGAAGGTATCATTCCTCTACATGTGTATCCTGCCTAGTATTTAAGCATTCAGAACAAGTCAAGGTAACCTTAAGATAAGAATGTCTACCCATGCAGTATGAACATTTGAAGCAACAAACATCGTTGACATGCTTACACCGATAACATTCCCCAGCAATGCGAATATCTCGTTCATCATATGCCCCCAAAATCAACAAATATCTTATCTACTCTCACCGGCGCTCTGTTCTAAGAGTATACCACTTTTCAGTTCATAGTGCGATATTAGGAAGACTCAACGTAGCTATTTTGTTCCAAACTCTCATGGTCGGCTTATGAATCTGCAGTTTATGGCAAGGCATGCGGGGGCATTTGGCTCACTTCCTGCTTCTAAATGTTGGGTGCTCTAAGTATACAACTCTACACTGTCAATATAACTTTGATTTTTTACTCCATCGTATTTAAATCAGAAATGCTTACATCTTTGTCTATACTTTCAACATCCTCCTCCACTCGTTCTAACCTGTCTTCTGGGGCAGGCTTCTGAATCCCCATCCAGTAGACACTGCACCAGCGCCTTCATTATCTCGTGAGTTTTGTTTTTAACATGTCGTTGTCATCCGAATGAACTCCTTGGCCGTCAAATTTCCAACTACTCACATCTTCAATGATTGACTCGCCTTCGTTGTGTAAACTGGTTTATGTGATAAAAGTTTTCTCTCTACATGTGCAAGGTAAGCAATTCACCCCATAATGGAAGCCGCCTTCACTTGTTTGTTTATGGTTCTGACCTTTCTTGGATATTTCGAACACTCAAGAACTGCCTTAAGTAATCCTAAAGAAGCCGTGCAGAACCTTTTAAGCATGGTATCTTGTATTATTACTTTCTCAATTTCCTCAATCTCATCTATCCTTTCTAAGCACTTCTCCATATCAAGATGCCACTTTAGGCATCCATTCAAAGACAAAGTCCCGGGACAAATCCTGCCCCAGTCCCAACCCTAGATCAACCCTCAGACTCCAGCCTGGACTGTAAACCCCAAACCCTAAATCGCAACCCAATTCCCAAAAAGATGCCACCACTCAAGGCCCACGGCACAGCGCAACTATTTCTAAAGGGACACCAGCTGGAGGTTACGAGCCAATCCTCACGCTTTCGCTGCTGTGCAGGGCCAACAGAACAGGTCCATGTCAGCAAAGTACCAGCGACGACGGCTGGACACTTGCGGTTTAGGGTTTAGGGTTTAGGGTACGGCGGACGGCTCTTTGATTGGTGAAAACGAAAACAAAGCGGAAGAACCAGGAAAGTTCTCTTGGAGCGGTTTCGTGCCAACGGGAAGTGTGAGACTTCGACCAGATAAGTCTATTGAGTTCTATGAGAAGTGCCACAAAGCGGTCCATTACATCTTTGTGATTGACATTTCCAACGATGCCATCATCGCTCAGGATTTTCCGACGGAAGCTTCATGGCTCATCACTCACGACCTTGACCTCGAGCCCTGTAGGCCGAAGGCATCACTGCCACCGCGATGTATCAACAACATTTCCTTTCCAACACAGCGTTCGAAGTCTGCTCCAACGCCAGTGCATGGAGTTGAAGCCTTCAAGAAGTGGGAAGACGATGACCTCTGGATCGTGCCCCAAGTCCCGACCACCTTGGACAGCAATGACGCCATACGAGGTTTCGACACTTCAGCATGAAGAAGGCAGAATCCAGTTTATGAGCTGATTGACTTTGATTTCAATAGCGGCACATCTGCTGCCTGCATCAGACCGGAGTGCTCGTTGGTGAGCCGATTCGTCAAGCAAGATTTGCGCAGCAGCTTTATGCCTGCGTTAAAGGCTGGACGAGTTTTGATCAACATCTGTTTGAGGGAAAGACCGGAAGGTCGGACGGGTCGTAGTTTTGTGCATGCACTACATGTGTGGTGCGTAAGTCCTTAGACTTGGTTGGCAACTGAGAATTCAATTCTCCGCATGTTCCGATCAAGCCCAGGGTCATTAGGACATGTAAGATGGAGACAATCAATCAAACACGGAAGATGCCACAATAAAACAGCTGCCGAAAAGTTCGGGTTTAGACTGGGTCAACCTTAGCGGAGCTGCAGGAAGTGCAGAGCAAAGAGGAAATAGCACAAGCAAGCGGAAGTAGTAGACAACAAGCCTCAAATACATCACAAAGATAGAGTACTGATTGAGTTCCCCTGATGATGAATCGAAACAAGCAAATCAAGTCTTCTTAATTAGACAAGAATGCTTTCATGTAAATCTGATACAGCAGGTATATATTACATACACATTAGAGTTACAATCCCAAACCGTGAACCAAATTCTACACGACCTCCCTGGCCTAGTTAGATGTTCGGCACCCAGACAGCAGTCAGTATTATTCCTAGGATGGTAATGGTAACTCGGGTTGGTATCTCGGGGTGGATATCCTGGTATTAGGTTGGTTGACATCTTAAGATAGATTATCCATGGTTCCATGTTCCTTCTCGGCCAGCTACGTCTAAGAAGAGAATTCTCAGAGTTACAGTCAATTGACGGCAAATATATTTAACCAACATACATCATGAACCCTGGCAAGAAGCCCTCCGAAGGTGCATTCCTCTGCTCATGAGGGCCCGAAAACGTCCCAAGCCGTCCCTTGGAGGCTCAAGAGCTGCTTTCGCGCCTGGAAGCAGAGGACCTCTTGAAGCAGCTCGAGACCGAGGAGGCGAGGCTAATGTAGGAGACTTAATAATTAGAATAGGGTTTTGGTGCCCTTTATACTATATTCATAGTAAGGAACCCCCAAAACCCTATTCTAATTATTAATGCCCTTATAGTATGTGTGTTTAGAGGTTTAGGGACTGGGTTCAGGGTGTTTAGACGGTGCTCATGGACTTCGGGCGTTTCAAAGTTTCGTGGGGTGTTAGATTTCAGGCGCTTTTATGAGTTACATGCGCCGACAATTCAGCCCTGAAGCTCGAGCCCCAACTCTCAGTTTTCATCCCAAAGCAGAGAACCCTCAACAGTAATATCCGGTCCTGGCCTCAACAGAACTGAACCCGAACTCCTACCCAAGACCTCACTACAGAGCCAACAGCCCCAACTCGTCCGAAAGCCTCAAGTTGGACTTTGCCTTGCAGGAGCATGCGCGTCGTGCCGCAGGCTCGGGGGACACTTCTTTTCTGGGGCATCGCTAACATTCTATAAATAACACGATCTGTTACTAGAAAAAGAATGTATTGTAATATACAAAAATGTACTTGAATGCATTACAATATACTGTAGTAGGTATACAGCTATACTACAATATACTTTTTGAAGTCATAAATACTTATAGTATATTATTATATACTACAGTGGAGTGGAGTATTCAATGTCCCTACTCTGAACCGGATCGCTGGGGGTTGAGTTCTTAACGAGAAAAAGCCTAGCAATAGAACAGGGTTCGGGGTTTCAGGGTGTAGGATTTAGGATTGCTGCTTCGTTGCTCCATGTCCTAATGCCTGCCAGACCCCAGAAGCATGTAGACTAATTAGCCTTTTATAGGTGTTGGGCCATTATTTTACCTACATTTTGTGGCGGGGGGGGGTAAGTATTAGTGTTGGCTAAGATCGTCCGGGGTCTGCAAAACAGAAGCGAGATTAAGATAATATACGCAATACTAATGCTATTCGTCAGGGTTCCTGGCTATAACTAAATCAAACCCGATATACCCCAAGACCCTGTCGACAACTGTTGAGACCCCTATGTTACATTATGTAACATTCCAATTCATGCAAGAGATTACTTAGTGCTATAGTATACCCTTATGCTCCTATAGTCGGTTTAGAACAGGCTGCTCTAACATACCCACNNCCCCCCCCCCCCCCCCCCCCTACTCCTAGAGTCCCTGGTAACATGGTTTTACTCGAAGACACCCCAAAACCCAATTCCTAGCACTGCGGCCCCTCTCTTAGACGGCCAACACCCATAAAAGGCGACCATTCTGCATACTTTTGGTGTCCGGGTAGGGTTAAGGGGTGTTTCGGACATGCGGTTTAGCGTTTAGAGGTGAGGGCTTACCCTGGGCAGCCTCGTACTTCCAACCCTTCGACGTTTACACACCCCAACGCCTGCGTCCTTGTTGGATACAATTTTACATTTTTGTTATAATAAAACCGTAATAAAGATTAAAAATGATCATGTTTAATATGGCCCCAACATGGAACCCAACGCCGTGAGAGGTAAAAAGAAGGCCAAGAAGAACAAGGCAGCCGCAAGGGCCAAAGCCGGCGCGAAGCTGCTGGATTGCATATAGGGCCCCTTTAAAGGGATCTATAAAGGGATCTCTAGGGGTTTCTATAAGGGTACTATAAGGGCTCTATAAGGGTAGTTTTCTAAATTAGGGTAGCTGCTTGCGGTGGTTTAGGGTTTAGGGTTGCACACCTACATCCTCGAGGTTCTTGGCTACCAAACCCACATCCCGGATTTCAGGTCAGGGAGCTGTGTGCTAGTCTTGCTGCTGTACAGGGGTAATATAGGGGTTATACATGGTTATACCAACTAACCATACTATCTTGGGGGTTCCTTATCATAGTTATAGCATAGTATACCCTAATACCCCCAAAACGATATTCTGATTAGTAAGGCCCCTATATGATATGGTTCAGAGAGAGAAGGTCGAGACTTATGGACCACTAAATCTGTCACGGACACATGTTCGCTTTCTTCTTCACAACGCATCCTACCAGACTTGTTGCCATTTCTACCATTGCTTTGCTACTGCTCCTACCACTGCATACCCCCGAAACCCTGCAGCCCTGAACCCTGGAGACCCTAAAGCCTGACAGCCTCTCAGTAAAATCCTTCGGAACCAGTGCAGATAATTCGGTATCCTCACCTTCACCCTAAGCCCTCAACCCCAAATATAAAGCTACGCACAAACCCTAAGGCCCAAAGCCTTACAGCGAAGCCCAGAAAGTCGGAACATGGATTTAAGATGATTAGTGCTAGGATCCCATCTACTCTACCTTCAGGGCACCAGGACAGTGATGTTCCAACTTTCTGGCTTCTACTTTAGATCAGAGGAAGCCACCTAACCAGCCTGAGCCCTCAGTTTCTCAACCTCAGGAAGGGCCAAAAGGGCGAAGCACCCGTGGAGGTGCTGAAGGCCACACTTCCTGGCACAGAGGCCCGGGAAGGGTTTGGGGTTTCGACGAGCGGTCGAGGTCATTGTGCTATGTTGACATTTATTGTTTTCTGTGTGTTCCGGTCGTTCGTGTTTTGGGTAGGAATTATAGTGAATATACTGGGGCTTATGGTAAAGCTCTCTGTGTGTGCGTGGTTGGCTGAGTGGGTTTCGAGCAGGATCTTTTCTCTGGCTGTCTCGGCCACATACACGTATGTATGTATGTATGTATGTATGTATGTATGTACGTATGCATGTATGTATGTATGTTTATTGATGTGCTCATCTAAACCATATTGACATACGTACTCACATACATACAGGCACGCACACACAGACAGGTACACATACACACAAAGGCACACACAAAGGTACATACATATACATACATACATGCATACATACATATCTATGTATGTATGTATGTATGTATGTATGTATGTATGTGTGTGTGTATATATATACATACATACATACATACATACATACATATATATATATACGCATACACATACATACATATACATATGTATACACACAGACATACACATAATCCGACCGTCATACGGTTTTGTGTGTAAGGTCGACCATTTAAAGATTTCGGGTTCAGAGCTTGGTGCGTTCATGGACTAAAGGTTATCGACGTTGGATTGTGAGCTTAGGCGTATGCATGTCTGGACTTCGGGCGTTGGATTCTCGACCACTGTGTGTGCGCGTCCGGGTGGTTCATGATGACGGTGGTCTGTTGGGCATTCGTGTTTTTATGGTGTGGGCGTTCGGAGAAATTTAGTCACACCGATAGAAGGATGGGTTTGAATTCAGGCTGGTGGCTGGGGTTGCTGGGTGAGCTCGGGCATTACATCTGTGCTCTGGGCTTGTGCCTTCGCATGTGCCTCTGCAGCGCTCAATATCACGACGAAAGCTCTGCGGCAAGTAGAATCATCACATGGCTTTAAATCCCGCCGAACCCTAAACCCTGAATCCATTTCATTACCTCAGGCCCATTAGAGTTCAGGATGACTTGCCCGGATCCCGGCTCCAAACCTGCCGAAGGCCGATGCTGAGGACGAGAATGTGGAGATCGAAGAAGAGGCAGAGATGTGTATGTATGTGTGTATATATATATACATGTGTAATTGGCTGTTTATTCATTTTCTTTCATTTGTTTACAGATGATACCGTGTGAGAATAGATATATATATATATATGATATACATGCATACAAATGTATGTCAATAAAGACAACAGCATATTATATAGACAATATTTATTGTAAGAAGTAGAGCAAACATCTCATATGATCTGATCTGACGTGTACTAGCCTAAGAGGGTCTAATCTAGTCGATTTTTTCAACCGAATCTAGTACAGCACAATGCAAGAGACCATAATATAGTATAACAATATAATATAACATGGCAGACTATAACATAATACAACATCATATAGCAGCATAGCGCAGTAAAACATATCGTAATATAGTATAATTATTTCTTGGTATTACTGAACAGAAATACAGTGTCTCTATGTCTCATGTATATAAGTGTTCTTAAGCTATATAGATAGCTACATAGATAGTTTTCGGATAGGAAGAGAGCTTAGGATGCCCGGTGGCGAGTCAGAAGAAGTTCGGATAGGAAGAGAGCTTAGGATGCCCGGTGGCGAGTCAGAAGAAGACATTTCATACTCACTCTGGTGCAGTCCAGCATGTTATGCATGCCACCACGGCATGGTGGGGAACCATCCAAGCGTTCAGCGGGCAAAGGCGTTCAATCGCAACTCTGCCCTGAAGTCCTCATAGAGTTTGTAACTTACAAAACTTACAATGAGAAAGCTTCGACCCCCTGATCTTTAGACCGGGTTCCGAGGATCCGTTCTTGAAGTAAGAGAACTAGCAGCTGCAACGCGAAGATATTCGCGACAGTGGTCATCACACCCGCACGAGTCGGCATCATGTCTACAGAGTCTACAGTGCTTGACTTAGCCGTCACCCTCACGAAAAGTAGCCCAGTGTGGCACCACTCCTTGAGACCTCACACCTAAACGATTTGACCTGAAAGCTAAAACTTGAGCATCAGAGGTCGCCTCCGAGCCTTCTGAGATCAAGCTGGAGGAGGCTGACAAGAAGGAGTCTGAGGAGGACTGTGGCAGAGACCCTGGGGATTCCGGGAACAGGCAGATAAAATCTGCAATGTAAGGAAGAACGAGAGGATCCCTACCAGGCGGAGGTGGAGTGGGAGTATCATTGTTTGCGGCTTTAACCTTTTTCTGCTGCTCCTCCTGCCGGCTACCGCAGCGACTGCTGCTGCTATCACCACCACAACAGCAACTACAACTACGACCACGGCTGATAACACCATTATTCTGGCTGCTACTGCTGCTGCTGCTGCTACTACTACTACTACTACCACCATCACTGCTCCTGCTCCTGCTCCTGCTGCGGCTACTGCTGCTGCTGCTGCTCCTGCTACTGCTACTGCGACTACTGCTGCTGCTGCTGCTACTACTACTACTACTACTACTGCTACTACCACTACTCCTATTCCTACTCATGCTTGTACTCCTCCTAGTCCTCCTACTCCTCCGACTCCTACTCCTATTCCTACTACTACTTGCAACTTCTGCTGCTCCTACGATTACGACGACAGCTATTGCCACAGCTACAGTACGACATTGACTACCAGTACAGGTAAGGGGTATCAGCAGTTGCTACTGCGACTGCCATTGCTACTGCTACAGCTACTACTGCNNCTACTGCTACTACTACCACTGCCACTGCTACTGCTGACGCTACTGCTACTGCTACGGCTACGGCAGCTGCTACTGCTCCTGCTGCTCCTGCTGTTGCTACTGCTCCTGCTCCTGCTACGGCCGCTGCTGCTCCTGCTGCTGCCTGCTCCTGCTACTGCTGCTGCTGCTGCCACTGCTGCTGCCGCTGCCGCTGCTGCTGCAAAAGCGTGCTCCAGCTGCAGCACAGCAACATGAAATTAATAGTGCTGATTCCGAACAGAGCAAAGCAAAGTCCCTATTCTGGATTGAGAAGCTTGAACCGCGACACAAGAGTTTCTGTATCATCAGCACTGAATGTACATGCGTCGGACTCGCGAGAGTTGTTCCTCGTCATGCGCTCTCCAGGAATCGACGGAGATGCACAGCTCCGACGGCCACGACACCCACAGCTCTTCCGCAGCTTCGGACGAGGAACGCTGTGGCAAGAAGGCTCAGGCAATCAGCATCGCAGAGGAGAGGGCAGACGGATGGAGACCACCCGGTTTTGCATGCCTCTGAATTGATCAGCTTGATTTAAATTCCGCAGAGTGTGCTGACTTGGTTCTCTTGTGGTATTCTTAGAAGCGCGACATTACAGTACGTGATTTTAGCACGTTCGCCTGATGGTGGCAAACATATCAATACTGGCATGATGCCTTCACCCTAAAGCCTGCACTCCACCTTGCCGCTGGCACTCGTTATCAATTCCTCAGTCATTGAGGAAGCAGTGGAATCGCAGAATTTTGCCCATTCACCTTTCCATGCAAAGGAGCGCGGCAAGAAGCAGAAGAAGATGGACCGATTGCAGCGTGCCGAGGCGACGCATCGAATCGGATTCCACGAGCATCGTTTTTCTTTGGGCCAGAAGGCAGTGCCATTCCTGACTCCCTACACTGCTGATGTGTTTAGCCCCGAGACGTGGCAGCACATAGATACCAGGGCCACGCAGGTCGCAGTTCAAGCCCGTCTTCTGGAGGTTCTTGTGTTTCTCTTACTGCAACGTAAACCTGTGATAATAATTGGTAATAATTACCATAGCAGAGTTGGTATGAAAGGCTGGGAAGCCGGACCTCCGCATAAAATTTGGCACAATCCGACGTTGACTCCTTAGCATGTCGCTGACAGGCCGTGCGCGAGGCCAAAGTGGAGGCAGATCTGCATCCTTCGCGCACCTGTGCAGATTGTCCACTGACATGACAACGAGGTGGACAGTCCTCCTGCTGCCCTGCCCCTGCTGCTAGTGCTAATTTCCTCCGCTCACATGCAGGCCCAGGAGCCTAAAACTGATAACCTTAGCTTGTAAAATCAACTTTCATGAACCAGGCCACCACCGAGGAATCGTCAGCACCCGCTGATTCCTTCAACGGTGCCCTCGCCGGCGCGCAAATTTTAGTCACTTGGCAGAAGACATGGCCCCTAAACCCTAAACCCGTGGGTACCGTTCACAGACGATTGCTGGTAGATGTCGGGAGTTGGTTGAGGACTTTGGTTCTTGCCGCTTGTGAAAACTTGCGGATTTCCATCAACGCCACGGGCTCTACCCCGAGTGAGTGTAGTACGTGGAAAAAAATAGGTCGCGACGCCGGTTACTACCATTATCATCATTCTTGCTGATGCCATGAATATCAGCATCCGTATCAATGTTGCTACTCAGAGTAGCAGTGGTAGGAATCGTAGCAGCAGCTTCAGTAGCAGTATACTGCTACTGCTACTGCTCCGACTGCTGCTATTGCTACTGCTAGTGCTAATGCTAGTGCTACTGCTACTGTTGCTACTACTGCTGCTGCTGCTGCTGCTGCTGCTACCGAACTGCTACCGCTGCTGTTGCTTCTAGTACTGCTACTACTGGTACTGCTTCTACTGCTACTACTACTACTATTGCTACTGCTCCTGCTGCTGCTGCTGCTCCTGCTCCTACTACTACTACTACTACTACTACGACGACGACGACGACGACGATTACTACTACGACTACGACTTCGACTACGACTTCGACTACGACTACGACTACGACTAGGACGACGACGACGACGACTACTACTACTACTACTACTACTACTGCTAGTACTACTAGTACTACTAGTACTACTATCACTTCTACATCATCACAATCATCATTATTACCGCCGCCATCACCATGAGAAGCAGTTCTTTGCTGAGGATTTCTTGAGGAGTGGCAAGCCAGACAAGGACGTGGCATGCTCGCTAGAGGATGTCAGGGTCACTCAACGTTGTTTCGGTCTCAGGAAATCGCTCCCAAGTAGAAGGCGATTCAGGTTTGATGCAGGGATGTAGGAGGTTTCAGGTTTGCAGAGCTTACAGCAGAATTTTCCTGCGAGGAGTCGCGGGCCGAGCCCAGCCGCAATAACAAGAGCAAGAGTCGCCAGCACCACGTCGCTGTACATGTGGGGATTTTGGCTACTTTGCAGTTGGATGCCGGTTGAGGAGGAATCCAGGACATTGAGGGCACTGCTGCAGGTTAAGCCCTTCTGCAACATGCTCGGTTCAAGCTCAGTGACGCGAAATCCAAAGCACAGCTGCATCCCAA